GCACGTACATTACGCAACCTCGGGCACTTGATGTCAATGGCCGCCCTGCGCCTATTTCTCCCCGTGTACCCAAACTAGGTATACCACCTAGTGCCAAAATAAAAGAAGCCATATACCCACGTCCAGGCACCTTCGCTTGCGCACGCTCCACCCCGACATCATTTCCAATGTCTCACATGGTCGAGCCCTCCTTGGCTTTAGGGTAGGTGTAGGCACAGATCCAAGAAAGCACCCCAGACGTAGCAGATCTTGACGGTTCCCATTGTCCTTGACGTCATGTTCAGCTCAAGACGGCAGGGCGGTCTGTGATATATTCTAGCATAGCTCCAAGGCCCTAGACAGAGTTGGCGAGTCTAATCTTCAAGCGCCCTTTGATTGACATCGCCCTAACCACTTGGTCTGCTGAGTGGGTCGCAACCGCCCTCTGTTTTTGGCAGAAAGTTCCGTTCCATGGTAGACGATCACACCAAACCTGGTGAGAAGCGCCGCAGCGACACGGGAGTTTCCTAGGCTGTCCCCTATTTTTTTATTTTTTTTTTACTTATTTTTTTTTCCCAAAGTCTCGCGAACAGGTTCTGACTCCACCACGCGACAGATACGTGCCAAGGCCCAGATCTAGCCCTACGTCCCCATATGCCGGTCGTACTCACATCCTACGTCATCTGGTCTCAGGTGCCATGATGCCAGCGTTTACGGCTTGTTCAACCTCAGCAGCTTTCAAACGACCGAGGTTCCAAGCCAAAGCTTCACCGCGACACGTGGTGCTGAAGCTGGCCCCCAGAAGGTCCGGCAGTTGGTACCTAAGGTAAGATTCGAGAGGGGGGGGGGGGAGAAAGGTTGCCCTGGAAAGGCGGAGGAATTTCCGGGGCATCTGCCCAACGCTCAATACGAACACAGGGGCATTGCGCTGCTCCAAGCACGATGGATGATGAAGTCGTTCTTGACCCTGTGGAACTTGGTTGCCCAGGCATGACACCGTCCAATTCGTGCACTAATGACGTTCTCTCGAGCTGGTCGTGCGCCTCACTTGTCCATGGCACCAGAAACCGGTCCTGCGAGGAGAAGGAGAAGAAGAAGAAGAAGAAGAAGAAGAAGAAGAAGAAGAAGAAGAAGAAGAAAAAGAAAAAGAAAAAAAAGAAGCGACGAGATCGCCATGCCCCGTACGCGGCACGCAATGGTCATTGCAAATCGACAGATATAGGACATGGAATCATGGAACCTGAAGCGCCCATGATGCAAAGTGTTTTGGAAACACATGGCCCATTGGCATGCCAAATATGGCTCGGCTTCGGTCAGGAGGCCTGTCCGTTGCCTGGTACGCTACCGACAAGGCGCAATTTTGGACCCCCCCCCGGACCCTAGTCTCACGTAACTTGTCGGATAGTTCTCTCGGCAAAAGCAAGATTTGTTTTTTTTTAAGCACACGGCACGAGGGCTGTATTGATGGCGTGTTTTGTTACCGTTCCTGACTTGGACTTGCTTGCACACGCACCAAAGGCGGGTTGGATAGAAAACTCTGTAGGGGTCAGCTGCTCCGGACGTTGCAGCGCCCGTGGTTCCCCGCAAGTGTAGCGGGGATGCCCTCAGCTCTTCCTATGGGGCGCACCCTAGCATAGTCGACGCCACAGACATCGATCGATTATAGTCGCGTTCGCCCATCGACTGGTTCAGGGACACAACGTGCAGTCAATTTGCCTTTTCTCCGGAAATAAGGAAGACCGCTGGACATGGACGGGTACTTGCAAGTATCAATTAAAGAGAGCACTCGTGTTGCCGAGGTAGCTTTGATGCGAAACGGACAAAGCACTGCTTGGCGCTTGCAAGTGTCGCTGCTCCCGCGTCCTTCCGGGGTCATATTCAAAGCCGAATATGTCTGGTCATGATCAGCGGACTTCTTCTCTCTCTCGCTCGCCTCCCTCATTGCCGCACACAGGAACCGTGAAGCCAGGACGCGTCAAAGACTTCGGATAGAGTGATAGGTTGGTACGCGGTCCGACTTGCCAAGCCTGGCCGCTCATTTCTGGGGTCGTCTCATCATTACAGCCAGCTTCCTGGTCCTCCACGTGTCGACAGCTTCAGTGACGCCAAAACCCTGAAGATCCTTCTCCATGGGCAGCAATGCCATTCCAAGGTTCGCGGCTACCAAGCCTATTTCTATGACATTGTGCGACAACGAGCGGAACGTTTGGCTAGCTTCTCCCTCTGTACCATGGCCCATCAAGGCCATAGATAGTATATACGAGTGCGAGTGCGGTTCGCCAGGCCTGGCTAGGAAAGTTCCGACACGTCTGACCACGGCAGTGTTTGGAGCGAAGGCTCTAACACGTCAGGTGTGCTGATAAACCCCGTGTAAGCCGTGGTTACAGTTCCCCAGACGGGAAACCCCAGATGCTGCACGTTTGCGGGCGTGGTATTAGTGGTGGTAGCCAGGCTTCCCCCGCACCAGCGTTCCAAGGTTCTTTGCAGCGCCCCAACTCGATTCATTGCTAGGCCCCTTGTCAGGTCCTCAGCCGCGGCATATCCTTTCCCCCTTTGCGGAGCGACCATCTGCATCCGCCGACTGTTACACATCAAACCCGCCTCGACATGGTCACAAGGGCTCCGCAAGACGATCTTTTCTCGCCTCCACTGCTCGTCACGGGCACCCATGACGTACATTGCGAGTATGCAGGTACCAGCACTGCCGATGGTTCGTTGCCGGATGCGGCAATCCGGATAAATGCTCCACACAGCCTGGCCGCATAAACGGTGGGAAAATACACTGGCACTTGATCAGCTTCCCCCCTTCCCCCATTCCGCCTTCCGAGGGGCTTTGCCACTGCTGCATTGAATTGACAGGACCATGCAGCAACAATGTCGTCGCATTGACAAGACCAGCAGCAACCTTGGCGCATGCAGATGCATCGTATCCCAACGCCGCTGCATGGGGCATGATTGGCGGCCATTGCACAGCACAGTGGAACGCCCTGTCGTCACGCTCTCGCAAGAAGTTTTCCGGAAGCCCTCTCTCTATTTGGTGACTTAATCCCGCGGGCCTGGGCACTCGTAATATCAACAGTCTTGTCACTGGTCAAGCTTTGCAAACCTACCAGCCATGCCCCAAACCGGCACTGACGGCACTTTGGAAGCTCCCTATCGGGAAATGCGAGGGGATGGACGCGCACTCTTGCAGGGCCTCTGGTGTGCCGAGTGCACAACGGCGTGCGCCACCGGCTTCGCATTCGCTGCCGCGCATGGGACTCGACAAATTTTGCGACATGACAACATCATGGCTCCATCATGAGGGCGTCAACTTCACATGACGACGGACAGAATTGTTGGGACTTTTGGAAATGGGCGGATGCCGGTGAGAGGCTGTGGCTGGCGGCTGGCTGCACCAACGGGCCTTTCACGTGCAGCAGCAGCAGCAGCAGCAGCACTAGCGAAGCAGCCGAGCTCAGCCGATGTGAAACATTACGCAGCGCGGGATGCTCATGTCATGCCAGGTGGGTGTAATCTTTCGAGCAAGGTACGTACCTGGTGTGCCTGCGCTGCTACCCAAGGCCGCTCACGGGAAGGCAGCGTTTTTTGCCTGCGTTTGCAAGACATGGCTTTCTTTTTGCCTATTCGACGCATGACTGCGTCAAACCCCTCGCTTCTTCCCTTGCTCCAACGCAAAAAAAAAAGAAGCCAGGATCATAGTCCTCAAATCCCCACTTGGGGTGCAAATCATGCTCCCTGCTCCCCTCTTCTCGACCACGCCCGCCCTCCTCACATGTCGACGGCTACAGAAGCGCGCACGAGAAGACCAGCCCGCCCGTCACCCGTGAATGTCCGACGGGGGCCCACCAGGAACAAAAGCACCCGCAGTCCAGCCTCCATTCTAGACCTCCGCGTCCACTGGAAAATCGACCCACCGCAGTCTCAGAAAGCATGCTCGGTTCTCTCCTGCATCTGAGCAGCGCCAAACACACAAAGCCTCTAGGGCTTCACCGCCACCCACCGGTGTTTGCACGTGCAAACACACTTGCAATGCCGCTTCTGCTAGTGTGTTACTGCAAGTGGCCAAGCCCAAAGCTTCTCCAACTGTTGGAGGTTACCCGACTGCAGAGCTTCCCCGTTGCGTCGCCAGCGCCGACATTGATCGCTTAAGCGTTCGGCGTATCGAAGAACAAAGACCACGTCTGCTCAGCTTATACCAACCGGCTAACACAGCCATACAGAATCCTCCCGAGATTGATCGCGATGTTCATGTTGTGTTTTTCTGGCCTTCTAGGCCCCCGTCTTAGCGGGGCTCCAGAAGAACATGTCACTTTTCTGCCCGCCTTCTTTGCCGCTAATCCACCGGGCGCCGTAGCAACGGTATCCTGCTCATCATCCATGCTAGCCAATGTAATCACCACCATCATCGTCATCGTCATCATCATCATTTCCCCCTCGCTATTTCCAAGCGAGAGTGTGCCTGGATCAGCCATACATCTGTGCATGTAAGCTGTAGAAAAATTTCTCACCCGTGCCGAGTAAGCTCACAGCGGGGGGAGGGGGGACAATACGAACCCAACAAGCACAGTGGCAAGACGACCTACATACATACAGCATACAGCCTAGATTATCGTGCCAGCTTATCAGTGCATACGCAAACCCCCCCCCCCCCAGTAGACCTAGTAAATGCAGAATAAGCAATTCACGAGGCGCTGGGCTGGAGCGGCGTCGTACATGGATAGACAAGGCTACAGGAATGCGAGCTGCGAGTTGTGAGTGCGAATGGTGGGGTTTTCCCACAGTGGCAAATGCAAATGCAGATGCGAATGCATACCCCACCAACATACATAGATACTCTAGAACACGAGCTGCGAGTAATATGTATGGACGACTTTTGCCACTACGTGACCAGGTTGCGCATTGTGTCGCACATGACCTACCTAGAAGCCTAGACGGAGGCAAAAGTGGCGCACAGGCACAGGGTCATGTGAGTGTGAGCATGTAAGTAGGCCTCTGCGTGGCGTGGCGTACGAATGCGAGTGAGGCTGTACAAAGCACAAGCAGCACCGCCTCCCTCTCTCACTCTCTCTCTCTCGCCCTCTGTGCTCAGCCAAAGTAGTACTACCAGGTGTAACCCTACTCCACCACGGACACGGGCATGCCGTGGCTGATCCTCGGAAGCGGAAGCAAAACTCGAAATTCGCGTCGTCGTCGTCGTCGTCTCTATTGCATTAAGACAAGGTGCCACACTGTCAGTTTCCAGACCAGCGCATTGCAAACACGCATTATGCCTGCAACCCGTTCATGTTCAACCTCGCTACTGCTACCACCATGACCCACGTCGTATGTTACTATTTTACGCGCTGTCGTTCTGTTTGCCCCCACCGCGGCCGCGGCCATGGCAATCCCGACATTCTCCACATGTAATGAAATGAAATGAAATGAAGAAAATATCCGCGACGTGTAAAGAAAAAGAAAGAGTTTTTCTTACCTCGCTTGCATTTGACACGCTGACGCTATTCTTGTAATCCATGAAAGTACGTAGCAGACTATAGTGTCTGAGACGCTGGAGGCAGGCAAGGGAAAAAAAAAGAGAGAAGGAGACCCACATGGGTGTGCTTGATGGATGCACGCACGCACGTTCACCCGCAGAGCCTCAATCACAATCCCATGGGATGTGATTTGCTAGCGCAATTCTCCAGGTGTTACTCCGAGGGACTTGTGGTAAGACCGGCCGGGGAAAAAAAATGGTGTCTGCAGTGTGTAATCATCACGCGTATGCGTATAGTTTAGCGAGCATGCAGGTTTACACTTGGCCTAACTATATGTGCATGTGTATGTGTATGTATGTATGCGCGTAAGCGTTTCTACGTATACATGTTGTATAATGCACATGTGTGCAGACAGCTCTTTCCGCTTCTACATGTTCAACATGTCGCTACGTTGACATAAATGTAGAAGTCCAAGTCCAAGTCTAAGTGCTATGAATTACTTACATTATATATATGTGTGCATAAATGTACTGTATGGTCCCTATTAGAGTATGAGTTTTATTAACGTGACTGCGTGTTGCGTCCGTGAGGTGAAGAAAAGAGGTTGTTGTGAGGTATATTGGTAGATGTAGTGTACATGTGCATGGAGTACGTATACAACAGTGCTTCTATTGTCATGGCTATTCACATTTTCTTTCCATACCTGCGTGTACTAGGTCTACCGGGCTGAGTAGCCAAGGAGCGACTAAAGCCCCAAATATGCTTACTATCCGAAACATATGCAGCGCCATGGCAAGAGCCTTGCATGTACACCGAGGGAGAATAGAAGATTACTACTGGAAACACGCATTAGCTAGTCATGAGAGAGAAATAGACGTACGTACAATCACCCTCATTGAAACACACCAAACACTGTACATACCTTGGTAATCCTCCTCCTCCTCCTCTGAAAACCAAGTACGTAAATCCCTCACATCATCTCCTATATCTCCAAAAGTAAGTAGGCTAGTTTACCCTTTACCCCTCTATTCTCCTACTTATTATTATATCTTTCTCTCTCCTAGCTAGACCTCCCTTCTTTCCTCGAAGTTGACCCCAAAAACCCTTTGGGCTTGCGATATAAACACTCCGTATTACACATTTTTTTTTCCCCACGTAATAGCGCTTACATGTGCTCTTTTCATCATCATCATCATCATCGTCATCACTATCATTATCACAGGTCGTGCGTCTGAAGAAGGAGAAGAGGAAGAAGAGAAGAAAAAAAAATCCCCCTACATCTCTCCCCTGCTTCCGCCCAGCCGCCCCTTGCAGTAATCACCGAACCCTCGCCCTCTCTTTTTTTCCCCCCACTTCCGAAGCTTTTTCTGGTGGTACTACTACTACTACTACTATGACTTGCTAGTACATGGTTATCTAGCTAAGCAGGGCATACGGCGGAACTTGGACCCATTTTAGGTCATATAATGAAGAGCAGTTTCTTTTTCCCCCTTTTTTTTGGGCCACGCAGTACGGAAATTAGGATTCTCGAGTTCTGATGTACAGGTGAAATGGCAGCTTTTTCTTTTTTCGCTCACTATAAAATCCGCCGAATGGTCCTTTGGCATAAGGGGAGGGGGGTGGGGGTTTATTTAGCAACGCTAGCTACAGTTCGTAGCCTTCTCCATGATTTGATTGGTATAGGCCAGGTACGAGGGCCTTCTTGTCTCTCGCTGTGGTTGTGAGCGAATGTCGGGGTTTATGCACAAGGGACGTCAGGAAGTCGCTTTGAATCCTTTTATATCTCTGAGGTTAAGGGGATGTTTAGACGAGTGGAGCGTCTACCATGTAGGAGTATTTACTTTGCAAGACAAGCGCTGGAAAGAGCACTTGCCTGAGCGAGATGAGATCTGTTCATTATAAGTGTTGTTGTTGTTGTGAATGATCGAGAAGAATATGTTAGACTTAAGGCGTTTTCCCCATGGAGTAGAGCTAGACTGAGCCAGATAGTCCAAGTACACAGCATCGAATGGATATCAGAGAAATAGCCCAATGGATTTTCACCCACTCCAAGCGTATACACGTGCACAAAGCTAGACGTGCACTATGAAGACGCACGTATGATAGGAACAACGACTGACTCTGTGGATCGCTTACTCGCAATCACATCTGCATCTTGTCTTGTCCTCTTCTCAACAAAACCATAAACTCCATGTTTCCCCACTAAATAGCCTTTTCAACTGCATTCAAAACAAGACGAAACCATAGCGCTGCGACTGGGTGTAAGAAAGATACCATGCATCTTCTCTCCAAGGGCACAGTCATGGGAATCAACACAACGGGTCATGCGCTGCATATCAGCCAGCATGTACACATACGCGGACGTGATGGCATATCGTGGGCACGCTTCATGATATCGGATCCCTGGGCGGAATGTCTTAGCTCAGGTGGCCTGTATATAGAATGCATGAAATCAAGACTCTTCCATGACATTGCCATGTCTTGCAGTGTCCTTGGATATCCTTGCTTCGCTCGAAGAAAGAAACAAGTGTTTTTAGAGGCCCATTGCATGAAATGATATAGCTCGTCCACGAGGAGACTGATGTCGTGTGAGATGGCACGGCAAGACATCGTAGTCATTGGACAGCACGGCCATATCAATGAACGCGCGTCAAACATGAGTGGATTGGTTTCCAACAAAAAGGCAATTGATGGCGCATTAATGCCTGACAAGGTGGCACCAGCAATCATAGCCATGCCGTGACCAGGCAATCCAGGCGCCCTGGCTTAGCGCGAGCGCGAGAGATCAACGTGAGGGCGAATGTCACAGCTCGTCCGGGGCGGAAAGACATGGATACCGTTTCAAACGCGCCATGCCCCCTTTCGAATCAATCAGTCTAAACCAGCAATCACATGAGCACATGAGCGACATGCAGCATGTCGAGGATTATACTCGTCACCTCATGAAGCACCGGTGAACTGACTCGACGCCACCTGATAAAACACAATCATTGCAAGGGCATGTGGGCATCATGATGCTTGCGTTTCTTTTTACTTTGAATCGTCTATTGACACACCTGCCGCGGAGAGGGCCTTTCAATAGCCCTTGCGCTTCGTGGCGTTTTGGTGTACTTGGATACTGTACTCAAGCACGTATCATTCGGTGTGATGTGTACGGCATGGTGACAAATGTAGTGCCTAGAAATCCTGCTCGCCGCTTCCAGCAATGATTACGTTGTTTACCTATGTGAAGTGTTAGTGAATGTGAAGACCAGCAATGGGGGCCACCAGTGACACAGCCGGCTCCGCATGCATCGCGTGCAACAGGCAGCACAGATATGAATGCAGCATTCGTGCGCCCGTGATCTTGCTGTCCCGCGTCCCCGGCATTGTGATGGGGCCAAGGCGGAAGTGCAAGGGGTAGTGTGAGGGGAGCGCCGTCGTACAGACAAAAGGGGAATAAGGAAGGGATGACAGGGAAAGGAGTGACAGTGGGGTATGCGGTACAACGGGCGAGCTATGTTACGAAACACGGAATAAATACAATACAACATACCTTGAGTACCATACGGCATAGCTGCGTGGCGAGCAATAGTTGCTGTCGCTTCGAGATCAAGGGGTCGATGACAAAGTGCTCCTTCATATCTGCAGAAACGCCACGTTAGTCATGAGCTTTGATAGTGAGCCGTCAACGTGGCCCAGAGTGCCGTGAGCAAAAGTGACAACACAGCGCAAGGTGTCTCAGATGACCGTTTCCCGCCCCCACTTGTGCTTGTGCCATGCCAGCACAGCGCTTCACGCGTGGGGGTTTATGTCACTGCACCCCACGGGGGGCGTCGTTTGCAGAGAGTTGATGCACCGCGGGACACATCGCTACCGAGCTCCGTCGGTTATGCATGTTCGCTAAACAGCGGTGAATGCAGAGAGCGAAGGTTGCATCGGCAAGGACAAACACCAGAAAAAGAAACTTACCATTAGAACCCGTCTGCATGCAGTCAACACCCAATCTGTAGTTCTTCTCCTTGGCCTGCCGGGACTTGATATTGGCCAGGGTTTCGATTGGGCTGAGACCAGAGTTCTCCGCCAGCGCCATGGGCACTGAGTCCAAGGCGTCGGCAAAGGCGCGCATTGCATACTGCTCAAGGCCAGGGCTCTGTGAAGTGTTAGCTGCTATCAAGTCCAGGCACAGAGTAAGCGTCATCTACCTTGACTGCTGCGTCTTCCACGGCAAGTGAGCATGCTATCTCCGCAGCACCTCCGCCGTACACGATACGGTTGTCGCGAACCAGGTTACGGACAACGCACAGAGCATCGTGTAACGATCGCTTGGCCTCGTCAATGAGCATCTTGTTGCTACCGCGGACAAAGACTGTGACGGCTCTTGTGTTTGCGCAATCCTCAATGACCAGCATCTTATCTCTCGTGGTTCCGAACGTCAGCTCCCGGACAATACCCGCCTTTCCTAGCTTTTCTGCGCTGAGGTCTTCGAATCTTGGTACGATACGGCCGTTGGTTGCAATGGCGATGAGCTCGATCTCGGGGCCTCCTACCCACCGGACAGCAGGTAGCTGGTTGGTAAGAAGCAGGTGGTTCGCCTCGTCATCAAAGCCCCATTGACATATTACAACATTGGCGCCCGTGTTCTTGATCTGCTCAATCATCTCGGTGAACTTGCTCGATTCGTAGTTTTGCAACTTCTTGAACTCGTCCACAGTGGTAATGTCCAGCTTGTGCTTGGTCTTGGGCTTCGGCGGCTCAAATGCGCAAGTCAGGATGGCGAGTTTGGCGTCCTTGACCTCGGAAGGCATCTGAGGATGGGAAAAGTCCTTGTCTATTATGACACCCTTGACAAGGAGTGTGTCTTCCAGCGATCCACCGACCTTGCCGTCAACCTTGATGAGCTCAAAGTCGACGTCTTTCCGTTCCAAGTCTGCTACCGACAACACAGCATCTACGGCAATGTTGGCAAACTGGTCGTGCGCCTTGGAAACAATCTTGCTGCCCAGACTGGTCTTTGCAACCTTGAATAGCTCTTCCGTGTTGTCCCGGGAGAAGTTGATCTCATCGCTGACCTCGTCGAGCTTGGCCACGGCCACCTCACATGCCTGGTCGTAGCCGTCTGCTATCCGGATTGGGTGGATGCCCTTGTCAATCAAGTCGGCGGCCTGTTCGAGGAGAGCTCCCGCCAATACCACGACACCTGTTGTTCCGTCACCAATCTCGTCATCCTGGGACTTTGACAGTTCGACTAGGAGCTTCGCGACGTGGTTGGAAATCTCCATCTGGGAAAGGATCGTGGCGCCGTCGTTTGTGACAGTGATGTCTCCGTCAGGCGAGATGAGGATCTTGTCCAGTCCTCGCGGTCCCTGCAATTCATAAGCTCCTGCCCAACATGCTCGCACTCGGGCAGCTCTTTCATACCAAAGAGCTCTTGACAATGTTGGCGACCGTCTTCGCGGCCAGGATGTGGGACTTGACAGCTTCGTTGCCATGCTGTCTCTGCTTCCTGCCTTGGCTGTCCTGCGAATTAGCTCCTGCTTCTTGGCCTAGCCCTTCAAGCCTATAGCCAGTGTTCCACGTACTCTCTGACAATGATAAACGGCCTGCCCGCCTCATCTTTCATCACCTGCGCTGTAATCCATGCTGTCAGTGGCGTGTTCCGGGGCATGGAAAAGACGAAGATTCTGGGAGTAGGCTCAGACGCATACCGTTGGAGAGATCGACCTCTAGAAGTACCTGTATCAGCGTACATTCACTAGTAAAGTTGGCTGGGCAGACTGAAGCTGCTGCCGCCTATACAACTTACGCATCGCCATGGTGAACAGCTGCCCGCTCTGAAAAACCGTTTGCACGCCGTCGAAGAATCAGCAATGCACAAATCCACACGAACAAGGGCGCCTGGGATTGTTTAGCAGTGAGGGGTGGTGGGGTCTGTCCTAACAGCTCGCATCTCTCTCTTGAAATTTCCCCGGAAGGGCTTGGCATCCGCGCGCACGGTTGCTGCGTCGCGAACACGCGCTCCCGCCGCCTCTCCAACATTCCGCATTCCCTGGCCATTCACTGCCACAACGCATATCGGCCGTTGCCCGCGCACGATTACGCTGGTTGAAGCTGCCCCGAGCTCTGTCATCCTGCTTGAATCCCTGCATCTTCATCCGCTATTGCTAGCGACAGCATTGCAGTATGCCGCGTGAGTTGCGCCCGCCCGTCCGCCTGCTTCGTCACCCGGCGCGTAGACTTCAGTAGCTGATTCGTGTCTAGCTGCGCTCAGTGACCACGAGTCCTCGGACGCCGAAGAAGTGCCCCCCACGAGAACGCAAACCAAGAAGCCAGTCGAAGAAGACGCCGTGCAAGACGCCGACGAGGATGAGGACGAGGATGGCAGTGATGTTGGCGAGGATGAGTACGCGCATGCCAATGAGCCTCTGCCTCGCATCGCGCTGACAATGCGGCAGATATGTAGTCGAGGCAATCTACGGTCACCGCTTTCAAAAGGTGCGTAGCCTGGTCTGGCCGGCATGCCTGGTACTGACAGCGACAGGGCGTCCTCCAATTCGACGTCAAGTGGGATGGATACGACGACCCCAAAGACCGGACCTGGGAGACTGAAGACAATATGTACGCGGCAGCCGCCCGAAGCTGACCAAGCTGAAGCTGACGAACGCAGGGAGGGGGCCATCGATGTCATGAACGAGTACTTTGCAAAGATCGGCGGCCGTCCAGAGCCCAAGGGCCAGAAGCGCAAAGGACGGCCATCTATCTCCGGTACCAAATCCGCGTCGGGGACCCCGACAGCGAGCTCGAAGCGTCCGAAATCAGAGAAGGCGCATCGGGTGGAGAAGGCATGGAGCCCGCCACCAGGATCGTGGGAACACGATGTCAGCTATGTCGACACAGTGGAGGAGATGCGTGACCCCAAAACGGGCGAGCTGGGCAAATTCGTATACCTGGTCTGGCTCAACCAGCAGAAGACGCAGCACCCACTCAAGCACGTCTACCAAAAATGCCCCCAAAAAGTAGACCTTTGCCCAATTTTGTGCCTCTGATCTTGACTAACTTGTTGCAGATGCTACAATATTATGAAAGCCACCTCGTCTTCACACACACTACCGACGAGCCTCCCAATGGTAATGATCATGGCAACCATATCACATGCAAGGGTTGCTAACTTTGCACGCAGACGAATAGAAAACGCCTTCAAGCACAATGCACGCAGAGAGCTCTAAGGCGCCACGGCCGGGTGACTTGGCCCCGCAGGCGCCTCGGGAGCCCGTGGCGCCAAAAATACAATGTCCGACTCGTTCTCTTAGGACGCGCGCCCAAGAGAGGAAATCTCCAACCGTATCCCCCATCACCCCGTGAAAAAAAAAGAAATCGATTCTTCCGACGTGTATCTAGCTCCATTTCCGCCTTGCTCATTTTCATCCGTGCATGCTTGAGTGGGTGAAGGACAAAGAAAGAGAGAGAGTAAGACTGCGTTTTAGTTTGGATTGGAAATGGCGCGTGTATATTTATTTTCGGGTGAGTAACTGCGGCGTATTGGGGACAGCGGAATGGAATTATATTGGAGGAACGCTTCTTTTGCATACCAAAAGGTCTGGGGAAAAGGCCTTCTCTCTCCTTTTTTTTTGCTGATGCCAACAAGTGGAGTTTGAATATTCTAGCTTAGCAATGCCTGGGTTCTTGTACTTTTACATTCATCAACTCTTTATTCGCATCCATAATATACTTGTACGGTGTCTATGTGCTTTGCTTGGTGGTATGCGAGGCGTCTTGGATTGCCAACTGTGTGCGTGTATATTTATTTTATCATGTCGTTGCGAGAGAGAATGCAGTACATGGCCTGTTGTGTGCATCTTATAGAGTATACACCAGGTAAACTAAGTAGACTGAGTCAATCGATATTCGAACAAGTCAATTCATTGGATTGCATTCCTCATAACAATCATAGTAAACAATATCAACGTAACAAACGTTGCGGGTATCCCAGAGCACAGGCCTTGATCCAACCTTGACCGCTCATGCAACTCTGATTATCCAGACCTTTCTTCTTCCGCATGTACATATAATTTTTTCCCGAGACCTTAAAGCAGGACTCTGTGCTTCTGATAGGAAACATGTGTTTCAAAAACTCCCTTGCGCATAACCGCGTAAACCCATGATTCCCAAGGTGTTTGTAAAAAAAAATACATGAAAACGCCAATTGCCATGCATACAGTAACATCTCCATCAAATCGTTCTCTCGTCTCCAAGCCGGTCCACCTTCTCATGTAATGCGTTGGCTCGTGAAATTCTTCGTCAATCGCGTCTCATCTCTGATACCATGCAGTAGTTGGTAATAAGACAGAGAGAAAGAGGGCGCTTATGCCTCTGTCATGTCTGAGACCGAGGAGGCGGTACCACCGACCGCCATGCGCGTTTGCAGGTAGTAAATCAGATAAGCGATGCCCGCAATGAGGATGAAGAGGATAAGAATGATGAGGAAGATGACAATGTTGCGCTGCATGGCTGCGAGGGTGTCTCGTTTGGCCGGAGTGGTTTGAAGGTGAAGAAGACGGTGTGGAAAGACGGTGTGTTTGGTCGTGTCCGTCTAGCGCACTTTGCTGCGTTTGATTCGTCAGAGGGATGCTGCGAATGCAAACCGGGGGGCTGGTAAGTTGTCAAGTCGTGAGGCAATTGATTTGTTGAAAAAAGTTTCCTGTTGATTCGAGGTTAGCATCCATTCGCTCGGGAGTCATGAAGAATTGGAAGGCAGGGAAAAATGTATGCGCACTGCTTTGTTGTTGCTGCAGCCCTTTTGAAGAGTACAGGAAGTAGTCGTTCGTCTTCGTTGACACCACGGTAAGGGTTGCTAACGAGTGTATCGTATCGTATCCAAGGTCAATCTCCACGATTGCAAACACCAACAACAAGAGATGTGTATGGTGGCTTGATGGATGGTGGAAAGGGTTCAGTGTCGCAAGTTTACGTGCATGTAACAATGGTAAGGCCAAGGTTCTCTGGACCACGCAATGGGCATGCGGCTACTTTTGTACAGACGGGGCGGGGGCGCGTGCGCCGTGGGTGGTTGGGTGCGGCCATGGCTCGGAGGGGCTGGGGACAGCGTGGCTGGCTGGCAAAGCTGCGAGGCTGGACCCGAAACTACTAAGAAAAGAAGGATAGTGTTGGGAGATTAAGGCGGTCGTGACGTGGAGAAGACGTGGCCCTGTCTCGTGTGCTTTGCCCTCGCGTGCAATTGTGTGTGATTGTGCGCGAGCAAGAATGCGCGTGGTGGACGTGATGGAGGCGGGGTGGTGGATGATGCGAAGTCACGTGCAGGGGCTTGGCGCGTTGGGCTCGGAGCGTCAACACATGCACATGTGCTGGATCCATGCAAGCAAACCATGCCCTGGTCTTGGGTGGTGGTGGAACAAAACACACAATCATTCTCTGCCAATGGCAATTCGTCCGAACAGACTCCATTTCGCATCAACGACATTACAGCTACGCAATGCAAACTATGAATGCGAAGCCTCTATAAACATATCCCATAAATTGCAACCAGAGGGTATACAAACACACATGGGCCGTGTCCCAGCATTATGCCATAGCCTAGACAGTGCCAGCCTCCATGTTTCGTGTTTCATGTTCCAACGACACCACAAACTCCGTCATGTTTGTTGCGTATAGTCTACCGCAAGCCGTGTAAGCCCGACAAAACAAAACACTACTGATAAAAGTTCCACTCGGCCTTTTCGCACTTCCATTCCTTTTGCACCGTCTCGATGCGGTCGACCACCCACCCACTCGTCCACTTGCCATCACCATCCTTGCCACCCAGCCTGATCACCTTGCTCAGGTAACAGTGGCCGTCTCCTTCTGTCGAGTATCGCCATTGCAGACAATCCTCGACTTGTTTGCACGTCTTTTGGCATGTGGCGAGACTATCTGCAGCGTTGGGGTATTTCTCGGCGAATTTGTCCCAGTTGGGCGGCTGCTTCGTTTTGTCCTTGTCCTTGTCTGCTCGTTTTTGGTATTGCGTTTCTTCCTGGCCGGCGACTTGGAGGATTCTATCCTTGTTGGCTTCTTGCATGCTTTGTGCTGGCGCGTCTTGCTCTTTTCGGTCTTTCTCTTCCTTGTTGGCTTCTTGCTTCTTTCTTTCTTCTTCCTGAAGTTTCATCTTGTCTGCTTCGTCTTTGAGGTGCTTCTGCCTCCCCGTCGGCGCAACGATTTCGGCATCCTGGCTAAGGTTGTCCCAGCCCTCCTTGGTCTCTTCCATATGCGGCGCTACATGATCATGAAAAGCATCGCGGTACAAGTACGGCGTATTCCAGCCATTGGCACTGGTCCACTTCTTCTCGATTTCCCATTGTTGAGTGATCTGCTGGCCGTCGACTTGGTACCACGAAACAGCTGGTGTGCACCAATGTTTCTGGGTGTAGTCGAGCGTGTTGGGTCGCTCCGTCTGAAGAATAGGCCATGAGCTGTAGAGCTCGACGTGTGCGTCTGCTAGGGCCCTTGCCAACATGAGATCACCGCAGCATTCTTTGTCGACGGCCTTTTCCCATTTGCTCGTGTACAGCTCATCGTACGACTTTGCAAATCTGCGCAGGGCGCCTTGAGACAGCATGATGCCCGGTCCGCGTTGGACTGACTGTGTTCCGGAAATGTAGACGGGCGCCCCGCTGTAGTAGGGGATGCGGTAATCCAATCGCCTGAGCCACTGCAGCAAGTTTGTCCAGCTCAAAGCTGTCTGGTCCTCTAGGAAGATGATGAATTTGGCGTCGGGTTTCATATGGTAGGCCCTGTAGACCATTGGCAGCATTTTCCACTTGTCCAAGGCCAGCAGCTTCTCGGCATTGGGCGTGTGCGCGGCATCGGCACGGAGGATGCGGTACTCTTGAAACTCGTCGTGCGAAAACCTGACATCGTGGCTCACCAACTTGAGCGCATCGTGCACCTTGTGGCCGTGGAACTCGCCGTCGTGGTCGCTGAAGATGACAAAGGTGGGCACACAGGACATGAAAGCTTGCATGTGCGCGTCGAGCATGTGCATGTACACCTTGGACGTCTGCAGCACCACCATGACGTCGTGGGCCAGCGTGAGGTTTTTGCAGAAGTGCTCGACGGCGTGCGTCGAGGCAGGGGGAAAGGCGGCGGGTGTCGGGGTTGGGTTGGCGGCATTGGCTGCATTGGCTGCGTGGGTGAGGAGCGTAGAGGGCACAGCGCCCCCATGTGCGGTTCCCACGCCCCCGGCCTCCTCCTTGTCGTCCCCGCCTGGGCCGTGGCCATGGACTGTTGGGTGGGGAGTCTCGATGGCGGGGGCCGGGATAATGGGCTCGGTGTGGACGTTCTTGTAGTTATAGTGGTCGATGACGGGCACCTCGGGCTGGGCGGACTGGATGGGCAGGGCAAAGGTCCAGAAGAAGGTGATGACGGAGAAGGAGAAGACGACGACAATGGCAAGCCGCGAGGGCGTGAGGAGCGGCATGGCGATGGCGGCGGCGGCGGCGGCGGTGGCGAGGGCGACAGCGGCGAGAGGAGAGTCGGGGGATGGCACTGGCGGGCTCAGGGCATTCGACAACGGCGCTGGCTGCATCAGGGTGCGGGTGCGGGTGCAGGTCCTGACCAGGGCATCATGGCGGGCGTGATAATAGGCTCGACTTCGCAAAACGGCCGTCTGCGAGGATGAGGCCAATCGACCAGGTGTGAGGCGGTGCGCAGGCGTCGCGCGCGCCCCTTGGCTGTGGCGCTCGGTCACGATGGCGCGCCCGCCCTCGTCCTGTCAAAACACTATGCCGCCGTCATTGCTTATCGCGAGTAATATGCACGGCCAAACAACTAAACTCAGCCCAGTCCACCCAGGCCGACGAGCGGGCGAGTCGACATGCTTCTGACACCCGCCGGCGGCGTTTCACCGTCGGCGTTGACAGCTTGACACCCGCCTTATCCAGCAACGGTGACGACGAGGCTTGGACCGGCATCTGCCCTTGGCCTGTATTAGCTATGGAGTAGCCATAGCAGTAGCCATAGCAGTAGCAAGAGCAGTAGCAAGAGCAGTAGCAATATTAGCAATGGCGGCTACATATATACACATTACTACAGTACACCTACGTAGTACTACAGCCATGTTTCGTCTTGGCGTCGGGACCACCATCATCCATTCACTCCCGCGGCCCTGGCCATCACCATCCCCTCAATCCTCTTCCCATCCAAGCTCCCCCGCCATCCACAGCCTCATCACCCAGCATGCAACCAGGAGATCGCCTTTTCTCTCGTCCTTTCGCACGCCCTCTATAACATCCAGCACCCTGCTCTCATTTTCACCCCCTGCCCCCTTGTCCCTTAGCAGGGCCCCCAACCCCAGGCTGCCCAGACTCCCCCTCTCCTCCCGCCCAACCACCACCCCGTCGGCGTCCTCCCACACGCCCTTTTTCACGCAGAACAACAGGCGCTTCTCTGGCTCGCACGTTCCCCTGTAGTTGCAGCCGTGGTGTTGCGCCCTGCACTTGGTCACATGCCAGATGCGCGTCCACTGCCCGCCCCACAGCGTCTTCCCCGTCGTAAGCTGGATGCTGCCCTCGAGGGCACTTCCACCGCGGCCCTTCATGTCGAAATCGGACAAGGTATACAACGTCTCGTCCTCGTTGTACCGCATGCGTCTGCCCCGCCCTGCATGCAGGGCCGGCACCGAGCACGACCGCGTTTCGTGCGGCTGAACACGACGGATATTCAGGCTTGAGGGCCCGCCATCTCGGTCCAGAACTTGCTGTATGTGATATTGCGGCAGGTTGCGTGATTGGCTGGCGTATACAAAGGGTGCTTGCAGTCTGAACGTCTTTGCCTGCTCGTCGAGAGGCATCCATCCTGGAAGCGTCTTTCCGAGCCCCTCTGGCCCTGTTCCCGGAAATCGTGGTGAGCGCTCCTGGCTGGGAAACGTCTTTGCTTTGACAATTGGTCGACGCACCGGTGCTGCTATGTTGAACATGGGCGTCCCCGGGCTGAAAGGAGAAGGGCTGCTGCTTGGGCGCGTCGAGTTGGACCACGTGCTGCCAGGCGATAGGGCTCCATCTGAAAACACCTCTTCGCTCGTCTCACTCGCTCTCCGCAGAGCATCGAAAGGATCTTTCTCTTCGGCGTAAACATTGCGTTTGGCCGGCGTGCTGCATATCGACGGTGCAGTGCTTTCGCCACTCGGCGCAGAGTAGTCTGGCACGCGGAACATGTTCAAGCTGCTTCTTCACTGCGGTACTAAGTGTAGATGCCGACAGCAAGGCAAAGGACACATACATGTATAAACCCGTCGGCTTGCGTGTTTATCCCGCACCCACGCTGCCTCAGCCACCATGATGCTCTAAGTCAGCTACTGGCAGAACACGATTGCATCTCCGCGTGGACCACATCGCGGCCCAGCTCACAACTCCAACGACAAAAGCCTTGGGCTCTCACCAGAGTATCCGAGGCGATTGGACAATGTTTCGCGGAACCGGCGGGGTTGGGGATCACTAAGCCTATGAATAAGCACTGAGCATATGTGAGCTACGCGTGGCTAACAGCCAAGGCCTCTACACTATGGACCTTGGGACGCTAGAACTTCTTTGAGAACTACATTCGGATTGGCTGCCAGCATCGAACAACTGAGCACCGGCGTCTTGGACAAAGTAACAGCGTTACATTTTTCGCTCCACTCCACAGGCAACAACACCCTATATAGGCATATGCTTGGCGAATCGAACACTCATGGTTCCGCGTGAAACAAGAAAAATCGAACAATATATCGTACGAGTCTCGGTTATTCTAGTCGACTTGTCGTGATCTTCGCATGATACTCGAGTCTCTCTTTGCAATGCTCAATGCGATCGTCTCCAGCCAAGGGCTCAGGGGCCATACTTAAGCCACTTTAGAGTTTGTAACACGAAATACGGTTCCACCGCACGGGAACGGCGACAACATCGGAGGTATGCACAAGCCATGGAGGGCAAAGTCAGCAGCAAGTACAGTATGCAGGACGGTCCCAGAATACGTGGTCCATCATGTTGAGGATTTTGCTTCGATTTTTGCTTCGATTTTCGCATACATGGACTGGGCCAACCGGCTTCGTTCTCACTGCACCAATGTCAACAGTCCAAGTTGTACTATCAGAGGATGGGGGCAAAAAAGTTGAACCGCCCATGCGGATCGTACTCTGCCTTGAGCATTCTCAGTTTCTCCAACCTCCATTCTTCGTACCCATACATCTGCTCGGTCGACTCATCCCCTCTCGCATAGTTGACATAAGCCTCGTGCAGCTTGCCCGTCCCCTCAATCATGGCATCGCGTATCTTTCCTGCGTAGTCCCATGCTACAGCATCGAGACCGGGGTCCTTGTCATAGGCCATGGATGGTGAAAACAAAAGTTGCCCATCTCGGTCGGGGTAGGCGGTGCTATCACTCGGGATCTGACCGACTCGGTTGGTCGAGTAACTTTCGAGGAGCACGTTGGAGCCCCGGAACTCGGACGGGAAGGTGGTCATGATGCTGAGAACCTTACGTAGCGAGGGCGCATCGTATGTGTCTGCTGACACGGGAGCTAGGGAGCGAGAAAAGCCCTTTTCACACGCTGGCCCGTCCCGATCCGCACCAATGTATTTGCTCACTCCTGCGAGGTCTGTTACGCCAGAGTCGGTGGATATGGGGGACAGCGCCGAGAAGGGATCGGTATATTGGGCGGGGATGGTGGCGCCTTGGTAAACTATCCACATCATGACAAGCGGCTATTAGGTCAGCATCAGCGCGTCGGCTATCAAAGCATTGAGGGCAGCCTTACATGGACGGGGTCGACCTTTGGATTGAAGGCAAAGACGATATTATGTTCCAGCTCAACAGGTCTGTCGGCGCTTTGCAGCCAGCTGTTTGCAATGGCCGTGACCTGCTCCATCTTGTCATGGGTGAAGAAGAAGCCACTGACGGCCCACTGATCGAGGCTCGGTTTCCGGTCATAGATTTTGATCTCCGCCTGCGTCACGATGCCAAAGTTGTGGCCAGCACCACGAATCGCCCAGAACAATTCGGGATTGGTGTCCTGGTTCACGGTGATGGCTGTGCCATTGGCGAGGACCATACGCGCGGAAATGAGCTGGTCAGATGCGAGCCCATAACGACCCTGGTTCCAGCCATGTCCGCCACCGAGGATAGGGGAGATGTAGCCGACACAGGCACAGACGGTGCTCATGGTTTGCTTGTCGTGGGCCCACAGGAAATCAGTCACGCGGCCGTTAAGGATGCCGCCTTGAATCAGAGCACTGCCGCCACCATCGGCGATGGAAATGCCATCCATGCCACGCATCAAGATGCCGACCGCATGCTCAATATTGTTGAGATAGGTCGTCGTGCCATGCGCGCCCGAAATGGCATGGAAGGATTTGTTGTTGGCATTGGCGTATTTGATCTACTTGGCCGTCAGTTCCAGCATATGATATTAACCGAAGCGGATTCCCAACAGCCTCTTGCACATCGGCTTCGGTCGCAACCTTGACTACCATGTCGTACTGTGGGGTCTGCGCAGCACCCCACCGTAGAGTTGCATTGGCAAATCCTGCCGACCCGGAGTAGTAGACATGGGCAGCATCACTGAGCGAGGCTGCAAATGTGTCTTGGGTGTTGACGTAGGAAGAGGAAGACGAGATTGCCGTGGCGAGGCTAGACGCATAGGCAATCGGTGCCGACAACGATGTGTACAACATGTTTACACCCAACTGGAGAGAGGGCCCAAAACGGAGAGGGCAAATGCATCCAGGGCCACGCTTAATGAGCTTCCTTCAAGCATCTCCGGGGCGCGGATCTCCACTTGAGGCCTTGTACACGATATCGACCTACCGAGAGCAGTAACGAAGGGGGCGCCCTTGCTTTTGGCCGTGTCTTCGTACGAGGTCCGCGTCCAACACACCGGAACAAAGAAGCATTGGTCTGCTTCCCCAATCCCCCTCGGCTTTCGGAACAGCTGACGGGCAAGAAGAAGCGGACGACGACGACTACTACGACGACATGTTTGTTGGCTGTATGTAGTCACGGTGCAGCCAACGCATTTGCCGCTCCTTCGGCTGCCTGCATCCAACGCCGACTGAGCCCTGATGGCTAGGACTGCAGCATGTTGGAGTTTGGTTCTTGTGTCGATCAATTGGCTGCGGCCTTTGCTCTCTCTCTCTCTTTTTTTGTCTTTCCAGAAGATGCTTTTCTCCTGTGCGGCTGGAGCCCGAGAAGTCCGATGGCTTGCGGAACGAGTGGTCTGGGTGGCAAGCCCTCACAGGAAGCGCCTGAAGAAGTATGTTGCTTTTTTTTCTGGCCTATGTCATTGTGACCCGGACGAACCAGAAGACGTTGATCGTATTTCGCATTCGCATGGGACGCCCAAGCTGCGGTTCCACTGTCTTCTTAATACTACTGGGTGAAGCTGTAGCGGCCCGGTGCTGCCGCCGTGGTACACCATGGATTTTGCGACCGCCGACCGAGTATCCGCACTTGGGTAAGTACTATAGTCGATCGGGGGTGGCCATCGGACCAGAGACATTGATTGATTGCATACAACAAAGGAGCCGGCATGCGCGACAAGCACGAGCTGGTGTAGTGGAGGCGGGCTTGGAGCGCCCCACAGTCTGGGGTGAGTGAGTAAGTGCTTTTGCTTGTTTCGAGGAACGCGCCTTTGCCGCCACACCATAACCATGGCCGTTATAGTTGCTTCAGCCACGCAAAGACTGCTGTCACTGCTTGCTGCTACGGACGTCCAGGGCAAGATACATACGTACTAGTATGTAGTACTACGTACACTCGTCGGTCAGCCTTGATCCCGACTCTCCCCCCCATGCACTGGTTATCCCTGACATTCCTGCCAACGGTTCCGATTCGCCGCATGCCTGCATCCTCCGCTCTGGTCCATGTATGCCACCCTTAGTGTGTAACCCCCTCCTTGTATCGGGTCCCACGTGGTTGGGCGTTTTTCTCCGACTCTTGCTATCCACAAGCGGATACAGCTGCGTGGGTTGAAACTGGAGAAACTGTTTCGAATGTCCCCTGCATGCGCGAATATCCAGGGACCTTTGCCAAAAGGGACCCGTGAGGGGACCCGTTGTCGCGAGGTGCTGGTTCATGCTCCCAGTTGCTCCAAAGACTATTTGTTGTAACCACCAAGCCATTGGTTGGAGAAAAGTCAGACCACCGGGTGAGCACAGTCGTCTTTTGCATTCGGACCGAAGACACCCACACACACGCACGCATTCACGACAGGTACAATGCAAAGGTACATATGTATCTGGCACCTTGACCACCACCAAGCTCGGGCAAGCTTCTGGAGATGGTGTCCCATTCGCTACACGCTGGAAATTGGCCACTGTTTTGGGAGACATGGCTGGGGCACGAGGCGAGGGTGGGGGGAGCTGAATGCTGTCAGGGGAAACGTGTGTCCGATGAGCCCAAAGATAGACTGGATGCGTGCCAAAGAAAGTAGGAGGCATACGTATGTGCATGTTGGCCCTGGAAACTCTAATGTCTGTAGGGCATGGCGAGGACCAGAGGGACATGGATGGATGGATGGATGGATGTGGTGGTGTAGTGTAGTGTAGTGTAGTAGTAGTCGTAGTCTTCGCGTTACCTGGTCTATTGCCCCATGCCAGGCGTGTATGTATGCAGCCTTGCCCAGTGAGACTGTAGTGGGTAGCATGTAGTCGTGGTAGTAGTCGTAGTCGTAGTAGTAGTGGTGGTGGTAGTAGTACTACACCTACTCCACCGCCGTGATTACTTGCATCAGCTCTCCACACAGGCTTGTTCTCTCCGGACCGCGGCATACCTGCCTGCCACCTGCAAAGCGGCACACGACGGGCCGCTGTCAAACGTGATGGCAGTGCAAAGCCTCTCCCTGGCTGGCTGGCTGGCTGGCTGGCGGCGGCGGCGGCGGGGGGGGGGCAGAGACAGTGATCGTCCCGGCTCTAATTGCGATCTACCCACCTGAGGAACTATAGCACCAGGCGCCCCAAAGCGGTACGTGGGGACATTAGGTTCTCGTAGTGTGCCTGTAACATGGCGGCGGAGGCCTCCCCGTGTGTAGTCCAGGCCGTGGTCCGGCTGGCCCGCCATGCTGGATCGGGGATGCAGGACAGGGTGCTCGTAAACCTGGCTACACTACACCAGGGCGAGGGTGTCTTGCCGAGCAACACAGGCCCTCTCCTCCAGGATATCAAGTCAGGACTCTCGCGTCACAGCCGTCCGTGCTGTTATCATCGTCGACTGGCTTGGCAGCTGACCGCTGTTTGGACATTATCTGTCTTGTCCTGTTGCGTGGGCGGGCTGGCTTGCACGTCTTCACACCACTTTTTCATGCCCTCTCCGTCACCACTCGACGCGCAACACACACAGGCTTTTGTTTTTCCAGGGCGGAAACATGACGAGGATCGCGGCCATCTGGGCGGGGCTGGGCGACGACGCAGAGGCAAACGATTGGTATCGGGACAAGCAGATTCCCGCCGCCGTCAAGAAGATCGAGTCGACCGCCCGCAATGCCGAGCGGAAAGAAGAAAACGTCTTCCAGGAGGTCACACACGTCGAGGGCCGCCACATGACCATATACGACCTGCCCGACGGGCCCTCGGAGGAAGAGCTCGAGGCCCAGATCCGCCCGGCCCTGGAAGAAATCCCCGGCGACGCCCAGCTGAAAACGCGATGTTACCGCGAGTACGCCAATTGGTTTGGCGAGGATTGGAGAGGCGGTATGTCGACATGGCCCCGCCCAACGGCGCATGCACCGTCGAGGCTGATGACATTGCACCCACAGATTCCCGAGACGTCCAGATGTGGGCGGTAGTCCTGTGGCAGCCCGTGCCAGAGGCCCATGACGAGCTGCTGGACTGGTATGTTGATGAATTCATTCCCGGCATGTTTGAAAGCCCCGAACTGCTGCGCGCCCGCATCTTCAAGCTGGAGCGCGCCACCAATATCCGCGGCCAAAAGCACGGCCATGTCGACAAGGAGTCGCTATTGCAGTACATGACCATCTGGGAGTATGCCAGCGACGAACTGCCGTGGGAAGTCCTGGTCTACCTGGGGAGTTCGGAGCGATGGAGGCACTATGTTGAAGGGCACTACATGGTAAGCCCCCCCTGGACCTCTAGATGCCCAAACACTCACATGTCCCTGCAGAAGTGGGAAATTGCTCAATATCTGGTAACGAGAAAATACTCTAAGACAGGTGGCAATGACCCTGCGATCAGAAGTACTGCGTCACTCTGACCGTAGTCGCAGATGAGCCATGACGAATGTCTATGCGGAGGCTGATAATATATAGGAATGTCATGACCAGGATAGTCCCAGCAGCCGGCCACATTGGAGTGAGGACGAAGATGTAGACGGTGAAGGAGCCGACAAGGATTCATTCAAGCTGAGCTAACGAGCTGGCCTGCCTGCCATTTACTTTCCATGTACTGGTGCTTGACATGCGCGACCTCTGATGTCTTGCTTTTCCGTGCAAGTCTTCTGTTTTAATATACCCCGCGAGGTGAACGAATAGCGTTATAGCCTACTGATTAGTCTCCCAACAGATTCATCTTGGCTGGGGTACATCGATGAGTACCGGGTACGTTTGTTGTCCTCGTGAAGCAATCGTCACTGCCCTTGACTCGTTTGGATCCTTTTGTCGCTGTTCACATCTTGCCGGGCCAACTTCCAATCCCGATTGAGACGCGCCGTCTTGCATATCTGGTGCCGAACAATCACCCACAATCCTACCCACCATGTGGCTCCCCACTGTTCCCTTGAGAGCCCTCTCCAAAAACGAGATTCGCTGATTCTCGTGCCGTCAGGCCAGGCTGGATAAATTGTCTCCCGGAACATTCGGAAACCATCGAGACACCTGACTCTCGGCCTTGGATTTCACTCTGTTTTTTCATTTCAATCTCTTCAACGCCTGCTTCCAGTCCGCTGGTGGCTTTCATTTTCTTTCCAAGCTTCGGGTTTCTTCGCGCCTCGGGTCCTGCAAATCTTTCCCCGAGCAGTTCTTGCCAAGGTAGAACTCCGCTGGACATCCGTGTTTCTGGCTCTTGCACCAAATACTTTCTTCGCTGGGGCCCTGTGCGAGGACCAGCATTCTTACGTCGATCATGTTCTTGAGTCAGGAGTACGCGTGGCCCAGATGTTGTTACCACATTGCGGACGTCACTTGAACTATACGCCGCCGTCCGTGGACTCGTTCTTCTTGGACATGGAGACAACCCCCCGCTCGATGTTGCATCTAGGATCCCACTCTCCCTGGACGCTGCCCGGTCCATTCTGTGTTGGTTGCTCGAGTGCCTCTCAAGAACACCATTGCTGTTGCCTGCTGGATGCTCCATCTGGTGTTTTCGGACGGTTCGCCTAACACTGTGTCCCATGTCCGAGTCCGTCATCTTCATGATCCCAACGAAGCTCGCTCTTTCATTGTCATCAGAATCGATTGCCTCCACATTCTGGTAATAGCGCGCTTTGTGCCCCTCGTCGGTGGTGCCTTCGTGTACCACTTTGTAGACGGACAGTTGCCCTTTTCTTCGACTTTTGGTCTTCTTCCGCGCGCAAACGTATTCTGTGTTCACCCCATGAGTACCGTCGCGATCTTTGTGCTGTGGAGATAGAAGAGCCTGCAAAGAGCCCCGTACACCGTATTTTGCGAGAGCATCGAGGACTGCAGACATGTTGAGTGAATGCGAGTGATGGATAGAAATGCCGATGCTTGGGAAATATCCAACGTATTTTGATGGACCTCTGTGCCGTACAGGCTCATGGTTGCCGCAACCATGGTCGAGGATGCAATCATGTTGGCGATTGCTGGGAATACTATGTTGCTGTTCCAACCGCTCCTTCACAACTCACGTGTTCTTTGAATGGTTCTTTCTGCTCTCCAGCTCATTCGACAATAGTACTTACCTTCGGGGAACAACCACGTCGTTTACTTCACAACATACCGCCGTAGGTGAATCCTGCAAAGAAGGGTAGCCAGATCCAAGCAAAAGTCATGGAAGCAACACTTTCTGGAGTGGCTTCAGCTTAGTGCTTGTGCCACTTCTTATATGGCAGGGCAATAAGGTTTGATTAGCGATTGCAACCTTGTCATACTTCTCTCAGCCGCACAAGCGAGATCAAAGAGACGGCTACTGTACACGCCGAGGGGTCGAAAGAAATGCTTGCCTCATCCAGACGTCATGAACAGCCATACTTGACTAAGTAATCTCTTGGCACATGTTTTCCCTTTGCGCTTACCATGGAACTGACCTTGGTGCAAATACCACCAGTTTTGCCATATGCCGAGACGACCGCGGAACGAACATGATAGGCAAAAGAAGGAGAAAATCATTCGAAAGCTATGAAATCACGACCAATATACTCGACGAAATTCTGCCAGTCAGAATCTATCCCTCGTCTCGTCAGCGGCCACTGCCATTGTATGCTAGAAGATTGGGTCCACCTAGCGTATCAGTAAGTCGCCCAGTCGTAGCCAGCGCGAGGACCCTTGCCCTAGCAGCCTGGCCAATCGACGGGCCCTCAAGAGCACGCAGATACGATACCAGCCCAGCAACCAAAGGCGCGGCCATCGAAGTGCCGCTCTGGGTGACAATGGCCGTGTCAGACGTGTGCGAAGTCGTTATAATGCTGCTACCAGGAGCCCAGATATCGACAGCGGACCCGTAATTCGACCATGGGGATCGAGCATCATTAGCATCGACGCTACCAACACACAGCGCCGTAGGAGCACGTGCCGGAGAATAATAATCTGCGGGCGCGTTGTCATTGCCTGCCGCTACAACGATAAGCACGCCTTGGTTCGACACCGAGGCTACAGCATTATCCAATGCCGACGAGGCTGGCCCCCCAAGTGAAATGTTTATCACAGCTGTGGGTCGACGGTTCTGAGCAACGATGTCGCGTAGAGCCCAGTTGAGACCGTCCAGGAAGTATGAGAAATTGACTACTCCATCTCCCTTGACCACTTTTACAGCAATAAGATTCGTTTTTTTGGCGACGCCGTAGGTCCGGGACCCGATGATGCCTGCAACATAGGTGCCATGACCAAGGCTATCAGTGTTGATAGTATCGACTGCGTTGTAGCCCCAAGATGCTCTGCCTTCAAACTCAACGTGCGTTGTCCTTATTCCGCTATCGATCACGTACGAGTATGTGCCTAAGCCTGCGGTCGAATCATAAAAGTAGTCCGTTGCTCCTCTTGTCCTGGATGAGAGGCTGGCCAGGTCCCAAGGTGCGTTTTGCTCTATCAATTGTCAGTGTAAGGGACAACAAGCCATCAATTACTACTTCGATTCACACATACGCTGAGAGAGAGTGGTATGCATCTCAAAATCCTTTTCCACAAGCAAGACCTGAGGCAGAGTCTTCAACTCAGCAATAGTTGCCGAATCAAATAATCCAGAGTAGCCTTTGAAGTCACCAAGATCAAACTCGTTGATGCCAGCAGCTTCATCAGACCCGTCCCTGCGGCCCAAGTTACGAGCTTTGATGCTTCGAACCTGCTCATGATGAGCGGTAACTGATGCAATTTCGACGCCTGGTATCAACTGAACAATGTATTTCTCGGTAATTGAATGTTCAGTAGATCTTGTTGAGAGGGGTGCAGCTTGAGCGAAGAACGGGGCTGCCGCTAAAGTAAGGCCAAGAAAGCGTGTAAAATACTGCATAATTAAGATGAATGAAACCAAGAGCAAGTTGAACTGGTAGAAACATGCCCCAGCATACACAGGAAGCCTGCCTGTCTTTCAAAATACTTATAGGTCTGCGTGCACCACTGTGAGACAGATCCAACAAGGACTTAGGGCCGGAATCATCGCCTCTGATTTGGCTACAATCGAGTACGCCTCTCAGACTGAATAGAGATCCATATTTCTCACCGGAGGCGCTCCAGATCTAGACTAAGCAATACCGCTCCAAGTCAGCCGGTCAGATGCAGCTGTTATCAGCCAATTCAATTATTGATACTAACATCCTTCAGTAAGAATCTGCGTCTTTCCATGCCCTAAACGCTATGCATGCATACAATGACGTGTCGCAATGCATGTTTTGAGTCTTGTGTATTCAATATATGTTGTGCAAGTGGCAAAGCCTGTTAGGTTGTGGCTACAGCTATCTTGTTGAATACTCGTATGTAATATATACATCTGGCTATAAAGTGAATAGGGCCATTGTCAGTGCTTACACTGTTATAGAGAAGAACAGACATGGAGTTTTAATCTTTCAGCACAATCGTATTTTATGGCACTCGGCGGGGTATTCTCGATGGTGGGGCTATGTCTTGTCCGCGCCGCAATCCTTAGTCTACTCAAATGGGAAGGTCAGCATATCATTAGAAAAACTACTATCTGCAGTCCCGCTTTTTCTCAGCTCAACTGTCTCAATAGATGAAAAGCAGTCAACTTCGATGCACAGCTCATTACAAGATGCTATAGATTCACAAGCTTACTGGATCTGCAGTCGAGACAAGATGACTCTGTTGGAAACGCGGAATCAGTGTATAGGGTTGTGTTTATCGTATTGAATGGTATGGTGCATAGTACACACTTTCTGTATATCATGAGGGTTTACCCCACTCCTAAACTAAGGCTGTGTAACTGTCTCAGCGACGCCACATCCACATATGCTTACTATCCAGCCAGCATTACTGCTCACTCAGGAATACATCAAATGAACAGCAGCCCTGACTGGCTAGGGAGAATCTCTGGGATTCCTAAACGTATGACTATTCTTGCCAAACACCTTGGCTTGATGACTGCATTGCACATTACTCATCGGGATCACGACCTCCACGTTTCCTCATTTCTTCCAAGTACTCTTCATTTGTTTCAAGATCGAATGGCAGGGGCCTGGTGATAGGGTTGATCGACGCCCCGTGCTCCTCAAGCTGCTTGAGACGCCGGGCAGTTGCTGGCTTAGTGCTGTTGACGCTGTAAAGCTTGACGCGGCTATCGAAAGGAGTCAGTCTAGCCATCTTCCGACTTTACGACTTGGCTCTGCAAGGAAATGACTTACTGGCACGACGAGGTTACGTGAAGATCCCAGTTCCTAACAGTCTGTCAGAGCATTTCAATCGAGGCAGACTGAATAATGCTTACCATGCACTTCGTACGAATGTTGGTTGGGTCTAGATATCACGTCAGCAATCCTTCAATTGTGATGGCGCAGGCTAAGTATCACTTACATTCAAAGCATCATCCCAGCAGCGCACACAAAACTCGCTATGGGTTGTCAGTCCAGTGTATCACGAGTTTAACGATTGCACAACTCACAGCCATCCCTCTGCATCAACCGGAATATCAATCCACCAGGTGCGCCAGGCGTGATAATACTTCTTGCTCATATTTTCATGCGGCACTTCGTACCAAACTCCACCACCGTCATTGCTGACTTCGACTCGTTCTGGCCAACCACTCCCACTGTAGGCCCAACCAGTCATGCGGATTTTTCCATCGTGGATGATGACATCTTTGTCGACTGGTGTCATGATAGCACTAGACACTGGCATCTTCTGAATGCTAAACCCATTGCTGTACGTCACATTTTGCTTGCCCTTTTGCGGAGTATAATATAGGTATTCCTTCATCTGAACTGGCGCCATGGAAGGAGCGTCGATGACGTTGATGCGTGTCAGCCATTTGCAGCTCCTTGCTCCAATGTAGCCCATCACCACTACACGGAGCGGGAATCCGTGGATCGCAGGTAACGGCTCGCCATTCATCTCCCAGGCAAGGATGACTTCGTTCAGCTTAACCTTGCGTGTCGGCACTGACACGGCATAGTTATATACCTGTCCTTTCTTGAAATACGTGTCGGCACCGAAAAACTCCACATGCTTTCCCTCTGGCTTCATACCACAGTACTTGAGGACCTTCTTCAGACTGACGCCTGTGTACCTGGCGGTGCCAATGGCGCCCTCACCCCAGGGCGCATTGATGAGTTCGTCTCCATCTCCAGGGTAGTCATGGATTTGTTCAATACGGCGTGTGCCACTGCATTGTAGGGTAACGCAGGTATTCATGCGAGGGAATATGCTTTCATCCTGAAGTTCCTTCAAAGTAATCTTTTTGGGCGTATCGACAAGACCTTCAACCTCGAAGAAGTACTTATTAGCGTCAATCTCAGGGACACCACCGTGATTCCGGATGAAGTGATCTTTGTTGCTGGTAATCTCGTTCTCTACCAATCGCTTACGTGGTGGCTCGCCGTTGTAAGGGAACTGCAAGACGTGTATCATATCTTCACTCTTCTCCTTCTTGACGTAATCCCACGAGATGGCCGGTATGTCTTTCAGTGTCTTTCCCATGGCGTAATGGTAGTATTTCCAGCGTACACCTTCGAGCACAGGATTCGTGTCTGGGAGTGGCGCCAGTTGAAATTCGGGTGGTACGGGGAAGTCATATTGGGCCAGGATCTCTGCTGCTTTCTTCTTCTTCTCCGGATACCTCTCCCACTCAATGTACCCCTTCCATCCATCTCTCTCTTCTAGGAACTCGGGTTCATCGGCAGTCAAAAGCTCGAAAGGTTTTGCATTAGGTTCAGCGGGCGCCATTGTAGGGGCAGCAAAAGTGTGAGCAAAGCGACGATGACAGCTATCAGTAGTATTACATGGGGACAACCGCAACTAAGTAGCGCTGTTCTGATATTGGCGTCAGCTTGGGTGCGATATGTCATGATGCCGGGGTACTTGATCATTAAGCGTGGGTAATGCTGTTTTCACAGTGCATGCTGCATGTCATCCATGCACAGCACTCTGACATTGGCGAATCAAACATTCCGTGACGTTAATAGTGCGGCATTTGAAGCATAGTAGCAATAGAGTTCTGCGTCACTATGATTTCTATTGGGGTAGCTGTCGCACAGTGGTTGGCCCATTTGGACCAATGAAGCTGGCCCCCGAAACCTGATCAGAAGCCTGAAGATAATGGGAACCATGCGAGGCGCACACAAATGCTGAGTAAGTAACATGAGGGCTTGGTACGACTTCTTACACGCGGCAAGCATAGAGCTAACTGATGCGTAAGTAATGAGATGTATGATGTAATTGATCGGAGCAGCTCGGATAAAAGCAGAATCCCCAGCGAGAAGCGGCAGATATCCACAGATCATAGATTGGTGACCGAAGCAAACAAAACAAGAAAACATCAAGATGACCGTTGGGGCTGCCGAGCAGGGGAGCTGGAGGAGGATGGCGCGCCAACTATTCCACACATTGTCATCGGCGAACTGCATAAGGCTATCGCCAACATAGCTTGGCGTGGATTGGGACTTCGCCGAGCGTCGAGCACTTGCATTCTGACGTCCGTGAATCCTAATTTTCTAATAATTCTCCTTTAATCACATCTTGGATCATCGAACCCGCTTCATCATTATGTGTTGACCTCCCCGCACAGATCACCCACTTATTATATGACACATTCCCATACCACGGTAAGAGTGTGTTTTCTGCATGTGTACAGAGTCAAAGCAAAAATATTGTGATATTACCCATTCACCTCCGCCCAAGAAATCATTTGTATAATATTTCGCGCCTATTTTATGCCAATATCCTTCAAGGCACGACACGTCCTTGCCGGCTAACAACAATATCTATTGACCCACATTCACCGTTGCGAGATGGTGAACAATCGCAAAAACTGCCTGATCTAGAAGGCAGCCAAACAAAATCACGAAGATGCTTTTGAGGTTGCATTGAATGCATATTGGAGTATGGTGAGTGTTGAGCAATTCCAACACGTGGCGGCGCCACCAGGGGTATCCCTTACAGAAACGGGCCGCGTTTAGGTCCCTCCTGCAGTAACACATCCAGATTGGGTTCCGCGGATATAGCCCTTGGGTTCCTGAGGTTGATGAGCTGCATAACAGGATTGAGAACAGCAAGAGTTCCATGCGCACATTATCCTAGTAAGAAAAGTACGAGAGACCAGCCATTCAGCACAACATAGAATAGGATGGCCCAAAGATGGAATTGGTACTGGTGAATGGAAATAGTGTAGATACAGAATGCTTCAAGAACCCAAGTAATCTGGCTAAGAGAGATCATTACACCTGCATGTAACATGCGGAGGATCATGCATGCTCTTCACTGAGTGCACACCCCTACAATCCTGGTCAATCAGGGGCATGAGATATGGTTTTGGGCTTGTCACACAAAGGGCGGGCCTTTGATAGGCATAGTACGTAGTAACGGGTTCGCTGTGACTGGCAGATTGGAAGGGTTTTCAACCATGGTTGATATCCTGGAGGTCATGTCTTCCCACTCCAATCTTTACTTGCTGCTTCAAATCTGCATTCTTTTCCACGAATTTGAGAATTTTGTTTTACCTGAACACAAGTCAACATGGAAGATAGCCGGCAGGTTGTGCTGATGCGAGCAGCGAGGAACTCGGCCTCAATCAACACAGTAGAGCTCACATACTTGCTGTGGGGAGGGTATTTTGTATCCCACCTTTTTCTTTGCGCCGCCTAATAAAGTTTTGACCAGCGAACACATCGTTCTCGAGCGCCGCGGTGCTTTTGAACGTGTGGAAAAGGCACTGGATACTTTCGATATCACCAAATTGCCACGATGCTACTCCAACACCTCTCGAGAGGCCATGTTCGAGCAAGGCTTAGAAATGGGCAAAGTTTGTCTCCAGGAAATGCTCGAACATGGTCATGAGCACTTTGTTTGGGTCACGCCGCGTTACACTCTGATGAATGCCAGGTAGGTAGGCCTATGCAGTGATCAGGAAGAGGGGACTAAAGAGCATTTACCAGTCCTTTTGGTCATAAAGCAGTGCTTTTCGAACCTGCTATGGAGCATAATGGCACGCCGGAGCAACAAGCAAAGTGGCTTCCTCTCGCTCAGTCTGGCAAAATACTAGGTACCTATGCTCAGACAGAACTTGGCCATGGCTCCTTTGTGCGTGGTATCGAGACCACTGCTACTTTTGACAAGAATACAGATGAATTTGTCATTCACTCTCCAACAATCTCATCGACAAAGTTCTGGCCTGCGGGATTGGGTTTCTCAACTACGCACGGCGCGGTCATGGCTAGACTCATTGTCGATGACCAAGACCACGGACCGCACATCTTCCTCGTGCAGCTTAGATCTCTCGAGAATGGTGCGCCCATGGAAGGAATCAAAATGGGTGATATCGGGTTGAAGCTGGGGTGAGCAATCGGAGGTTGAAAGATATTAGAAACCCAGATACTAACGAGCGACACAGGTACAACGAAGCAGACAACGGTTTCGCGTCGTTTGACCACATACGCATCCCTCGATCGCACATGCTGATGGCTCACAGCCAACTCGCGCGTGACGGTACATTTTCCAAAGACCCGCTCCGCGCAAAGCTTTCCTACTCGGTGATGCTGCTCGTCCGCAGCAAGATGCCCGAAGTCTTCACTGTAAAACTTGCACAGGCATTGACAATCGCAACCCGATACTCTGTTGTACGACAACAAGGGCTCGGTCCTGCAGACGCATCGAACCACGAAGATACCATTATGCAGTATAAGCACCAGCACTTCCGCTTGCTCAGCCTCATCGCAAAGACATACGCCATGTTCTTTGCTTCGCGTGCGTGCGTGGCTCAGTACCAACGGCTCCGCGATATGCAGAGCAACAAAGATCATTCACTGCTGCCATCTTTGCATGCGCTTACGGCTGGGTTAAAAGCATACGTAACGTCGGAGGCGGTTGATGGTGCCGAAGATGCTCGCAAGATGTGTGGTGGGCATGGATACATGGCAATATCGGGCCTTCCAGACATCATTGGTGCGCTGGCGGGCGGAGCAACGTTCGAGGGCGAGAACTACGTGCTGTGGCAGCAGGTTGGTCGGCATGTACTCAAACAGCTAGATCGCTTGCAGGATGGCGACAAGATGGAGCCGCAGATGCAGTACTTGGCTGATGTGGACGATCCCAACGTAGCATGCATAGCACATGGCAAACAGTTTCTTGCGCAAGAGACACAGTTGGCTATGTTTCGCCATCGCGCACACCGTATGGTCGTCAAGGCACATGCAGCAATCCGCGCATCCTGTAAGACACCAGCAAAGGCTTGGAACGAACACATGATGTTGCTCATCTCGGCGTCGCGAGCACACATCGAGTACTTCACTCTAAGGTCTTTCGTCGATGTGATCTCAGAGTTGCCAAATGATACTTCGGTGGGCCTTCGCGAGGTTTTGAAACGAGTGTGTTCGCTCTTTGCTCTCACTGCAGTCATCAACCCGCGTTCTGTTGACGTGCTGTCTTTTGTTGAGACTGCCGCTAATGGACCGCCATACCTCTCGTCCGTTCAACTTGACACCATCCGCTCGCTCGTCAATGACCTACTTGACCAGCTCCTGCCAGAGAGCATCGCTCTGACTGATGCGTGGGACTTTTCGGATGCTAGCCTGTGCAGTGCCATTGGCATGTACGACGGCAACGTTTACGAGAACATTATGCGTTGGGTGGAACAGCTACCGATCAACCAGAATGCGTGGAAGAACAGCGGTGTTCAAGAGGGCTGGAACAAGTGGGTTGACCCGATCCTAAAAAAGGACATGCAAGTTCGGGCGAAGCTGTAGGTGTGTGGGGCCCAGACGGTGAAATGTAGGTTTAGCGCCCGGGATGGATATGTTGTTTGAACAGCGTGTTAAATGAGATGCTTTCTATATTCTGCAGTTTCGTTGTGATGCAAATTCACACATGAAGGTTGTGGAGAAAGTAGCATACCTGCATTAAATGAAAATAGGTGTTGTTGAAGCAGAAATATGATATGGTTCTCCAATACATGTTGCAACATGTTACAACCAGCTTGCTGTCGTCGACATCAAAAGAATGCAGTATGCCCTCAGCTCAAAGCCAATGCAATCTGATGATGACAGCCATCTAAAAACAGTGCCTCAAGCGCGGAGAGTGAGCAGTGCCACTGCATAGTCAGTAGCATGTCAGGACGGCGCAAACTGATCTGTGGTATCACGGAGACATTGGTCACCATTCGTTCTTAGACTACAGTGATAGCCATTCGTCCTAGAGCGAGAGAAAGGCAGACATCGCACCAAGTAACGCCTCAGTTCAAAACAAAAACACACACACACCAACTTTTAAGCAGAAATCTTTCATCAAAACTCGTCAATTTTCTATCAGATATAGGGGTAACACGTCGCGAGAAACCGATTTACGCCACCTCTAATGTGTGCAGCCCTCTCGTTGAGGTGCTAGAGGGGGTATTGTCGGTATTCTTGCGGACGTGTTCGAAA